TAGAATTTCGAAGACGGGAATAAACCGCACGACACAGATTCTTGATACGATAAATGTTCCAAGCCGGTCCTAAGCCTACACCAACATTTACAGGGCTTTAATAGTAAAGAATAACGAAGAATCGACAGCAAATATATGTATTTGCTAACCGTCGCGTCGCGTCGCGTCGCGTCGCATCGCATCGAAAGGAAGAACCCTTGGATGCGAAAGGAAAACCGCGAACTCGCGACATCAAAGTGATCCGCGTCAAGTCGAAGTTGTTGCGGTAAGCAACGAAATTACGAATCGAAATTGAAACGTTCGGGGTCCTGGTGTTTCCCAGGATATGCGGGTACAGTATCGCGCGTAATCGAAGCATAAATTCTGCCGGTAATGGCGGACCGGAGCCCGATCTAGCCGTCAGAAATATTTCCACGGGTAGTTCTCCGTGCCGTGTAATTTTCGATATTCTAGCCTCCGTCTCCGTAATATCGCAGGCGCATGCAAGCTCGAGAAATCGACCAAAAGATTTAACGACGCTACGTTTACTCAAACGGGCCTCCGAACGCGAGCTTTCCACGAGCTTCGTTTACGCCAAGATACGTAAGTACCCCTACAAGCGCAATTACGTTCTCGAGTAATTTGTTTTCCGTGGCGTCGATCGGCGTCGATCGGCGTCGAAAAAACATCGAAACCAATGCTTGCTATACGTATAATAGCACAGCTGCATTTATTCGATAACGTTGAAGGATAAGATATTTGTTGTAGGTAAATTGACTCGAATTTCGGCATGGGCACTCTGTTCGCCGTGGCAAGAAAAATTTATCGGATTCTGCGCCAGCCAAGGCATTGCCGCCGAGGCCTGTTAGAAAGGACGGGTGCGATGCGAGATCGGTGCTGCGGTAATAACCAAGTAGCGTACACACCGATACCTACGTACACGAGTTTCGCATTCACAGATTCTAGCAAAGCACGTAACCGTTCGCGGGCGAAAGCTGCGCGACCGCGCGACCGCGCGACCGAGACCACTGGAATTTAGTTTTACGTGCTGGTATAAGAAACGATAAAACGTCATGGAATAGAAAAATAGATAATGATACGTATAGGTCGTATTGGTACGTGTACTCTGTCTGTCGCGCCTCCTCTGCTTTTCCATGGAAACGGATTTTCAGAGTGTCGTTGAATAATCTTCGGTTCGAAGCAGAATTTATTAAAATCCCACCGAGCATCGAGCGGTTCCTGGATGCTGCGGAATCAGCAGACGAACCGATTCAACAAAATTCTTTTTTACAGAAAATTACAGTCGACGGGCGTACAAATTGAAAACGGTGCGCATCGCGATCGCTAGTGTTCCAGCGTGTTTCGAATCGTGGAAAACAATTGTCCTCGTGGATCGATTTCCGACGCAAACTCGCTAGAGTTGCACGGCTAAACCATGTGAATTTCACCAAGCTAGAAATTACGCGAATGATCGTCGCGAAGATTCAGGCCCCGGAAATGTTCGTCTCTGACTGGTAGCTGGTAGCTCGTCGTGACTCGTGACTCGTGACTCGTGGTCCGTGGCCCGTGCAGCAACCCCCGACGAATCGACGATCGCAAATTCTAGATCGGTTCGCCACGGACGATCGTTGCGACAAACACGCTCCCAGTAAACCCCCGAACGTTCAACGAGCTTCAAACGCACAGATTTTTTATTCGCGTCGTTTGCGTTTTTCGACCGATTCGAATTCTCCATTGTACGTCCAAATCTAATCACTCCTGATCCGTGATTTCGCAACCGTTCACTCTGGATTAGCAGTCGAAAGGATCGCGAACCTGATAAATCTGTGGAAAACTAGCCTTACGTCCTATCTGTTTTACCTTGGTTTCTTCCGCGCCATCCAATATCAAACTGTTTAAAACCGAGACCACCGTACCGTTTGCGATCGCGGAATTTATCGACAACATCGAGAACAACGAGTTCCCTCGGAGCGAAAAAAAGTAACTAATTACAGGTAATGAAAGGTCAGAGCGATGTTCGCAAGCTGCCAAGATCGTGGCGTCGATCGCGCGCACTTTTATTTGCCCGAGCAAGAAGCCGTACCCCAACCAAGTTGCTTGACGTTAATTAAAGCCGGATAAGCGATCGTACCGCGTGAAAATCTCTCGAGCCAGCCGTTTTGTCCAGACTCCCACCAACGATCGCGGGATCCTCGATTCGACGAATAACAACGTTATTTCTCAGCATGTACGAGTCAAAAATAAAATGCAACGAGTACGAAAGGGAATTTTAAGGTAGAAATGGATCGATGAATCGAGAAAATATTTATTCGATATCGGCGAAAAAATTTTGCTCGACTTTGAATCGACGTGTATCGTAGGAGAAATATGTTTTCGTCGGCTTGTCGGGCTCGTCGAAATCGACTCTCGTCCGGAGAGGGGGGAGAAAGGTTTCTAGGACGGTGCATTTTCCAAGAAGCGGCCGCGGCACTAGTTGCAGTTGCAGTTGCAATTGCAATTGCAACACGCGCAGCCAACCTTCAAAGTTGCCTCTCTCCTGAAATTGCATCGCATCGCATCGCATCGCATCGCATCGAATCGTCAAGCCGAAGAAGCCAAACGCATTCTTGGATAACTGCATTTCCTATCCATCTATCCGTTGGATTTCTTTCGTCTTTGCTGCTCTATCGACGATTCGTCTGTTTTCTTTCCAAACTGTCCTCGATGCGTCCTCGACGTTTCGCTCGCTGCTGTCTGTGCTGCTGTGCCCCTCTTCTTCGAGATGGAAGATGTTTGCATTGGGTCCTGTAGTATTACGCGCAGAATATCGAGAGGAGGGTAGAGTATCGACGATCTAGAAAAAAGAGTCAAAGCGTAAAGATCGTTGCAATAGTCCGCGGCGATAAAGAATAACGAGCCGAGCCGAGCCGAGCCGAGCCGAGCCGAGGCAACACGAATCGTACAAGAACACGCGCAGTCGGTGTCGTGGAAACGTCGAACGCGGCCATAGAACCGTATCGGCGCGGCGCGGCAACTCGCTTTTCCCCTTTAATCGCTTCTACGAACAGAAAAGTGGAAGATTACTCGGCTCGAAATCGATCCGAGTCTCTGCGTAATCGGCGTATCCTGTCCGCCTGTCCGCTTGTCCGCTGGTCCGTCGTTTCTCACCCCACAATTTCCCGGCCGAGCCTCTTTCCGTGGCGCGCGCGCAAAATGCCAGCTCGCCTATAGATATACATATGTATACATATGTTGACCATGAGAAAACTCCTCGCGAGGCCAAACACTCGAAAGGAAATACATAAACAATAAGAATTTTCTCGAGTGTTTTTCGTCGCATCGAGCGGACCAAGGACCAAGGCACAGTGGGGACAAGAAATTCTAATAAAAACGGCGATCGCCAACAGTCGCGCGCGCGCGTTCGACTTTTCTGTTTTGTAGAAAAACATTAGGATAAACGTTTGTTCTGTCGACGATTGATTTCTCAACAAACACGATTAAACTGCGAAATCATCGCGGATCGATAAAAATCGGCATCCGGAAGGCCGTCGACCGACCTGCACGACGCGTCGCGACGCGGCGCTTCTTCCACGAACATTCGAATCGTTCAACGACGCGTTTTACACGCGTGCTCGATTATCGCAACATAAACTTAAATAGTAACGCGTTGCGACGTATTCGAGCAACGTCTAGTACGTTATCGAACGTAGTCGTTCTCCGTGTATACATAGATACACGACTTTCGATACTGAGATTTCTTTTTAAGCGTTCTATAGTCGTCTCCTGCCACTGACGATACTTGTACAGGGATAGTTTAGAAAAGGACTAACGTCACGTTCTCTGTGTTTTTTTCCTTAGAAGCAAGTAAGAAATAGCAGGAATGAATGGCATTGGTCTCGGGGTGGTCGCGTCTCGCTGTCAACGGTTTTCTCTCAACGCGATGGAGGTGGGTTGAAAAACATCGCTCATTTATCATTTATAATAAATAATAAATAATGAAAAATAATTTTATTAGAATTAATTAGATGAGTATGCGTCTACATAGATCTATCTTGACTCGAGCATCGTTGAGAATCGTTCGAAGGGATCGTGGGTGGGAGCGTTTTTGATTATGTTCGGACACGCTCCCAGCGAATAATCGTCATATGTATATTCAGCCGATCGAGTCCAGTGCGTTGGAGCACGCGTTGGAGCACGCGTTGGAGCACGCGTTGGAGCACGCGTTGAACCACGCGTTCAGCGTGTTTGGCTATCGAGCGCGTTTAGGTAGTCGAGTAACGACTCGCCTCGAACGAGAGACCAGAAGCTCGGAGCGTCACGGACGCAGTCAGCATACGGCAGATATCGAAATGGCTTCGCATCATTGCGTCGTTTTGAAACGTGACGTCCGATGCCAGCGAACAAAAGCGAATTTCAGGACAATGCCACCCGTTCGTCTCGTAATCTCTTCCGCGTAATATACGTGTACGTAGATCCACGTCGGCTCGCGGTGCTGTTGAACGCAAATAAAGGTTTCTCGGAAGACAGGTGAACGAGCCGAGAAGCAAACGGACGTGTCGAGCAGGGAGCGGCCCGAGGAAAAGAAAAGGCAACGCGGCCGGGGACCCTTTGCGAGAGAAAGAAAGGTGTCGCGAGAAGAAAAGGGCTTTTCTTCTCGCGAACGTTTATGCCTGATTTTTCGCAATTCTGGATCACCGTGCGTCAAGTAGTACTACCGGTAGTTGCGATCCAGCAGCTGGGAACCTCGCGAAATCGTTGTAATTCCCGTTGAAATTCCCGTTGCTCGAAACCGAAGCAATAATAAAAGAGCCATCTATCGTTTTTAAAATATTCAGGGTACATATTTATCGCACGAGCCGTTCACGTTGGTAAAATTGATCGACGCGACGCGGCGGGTGCGACGGCCCCTTCGAGTAGATATCCCATCGTTACGCGCAATATTCACGACCGGCTGGCTAGCCTAGCTAGATTTGTTTATCGAACGAACCGAAGGAATCGTCGGTCGGTGTCGTTAAGAGGTTGGTTTGCTTGGGTTGTTCCAGGTACAAGGACAACAGGGCTTATCCTTGGCCAGGTGGCGAGAGCCACTTCATTCTGTACCCAGAGAGCGCGAACCAGACGATATACGCGCAAAAGGTGCGAGCCTCGGACGCGGGACGATATTCCTGTCGAGCCAGGAACGACACGACCATCCTGGAAGGAGACATCACGCTCGCCGTATTCGGTGAGTCAGTCGAGTTTATTCCATTCCCTTTTCCACTATCCACGTTCCTTTAAACCTTGGATATTTTACTTTCCGATACTTTTACCAATATTCGCTTACAAAAGAGATATACGTACATCGACCAAACTAGATAATTACTTTTTAAGAATATTCCGTAATATTTTGTAATCGATAAACGTTATTCGGTGTGTTTTGGGGTTGAATTTGTGCAGGGTAAAATGTGCCGAGAAATAAAAATATTCGTTCCAGGTATTTAAATCGAACACGATCGACGCACCGCGGTGATTTTAAACGAAAAGAAACGCGATTGTTATTTTGAAACGTCGCGTTTGGGTTTTGTTCGCGCGATAGTCGAGAACGGAGAAGATGGCTCGATTTATTCCAGCTTCCGCAATCTGTTATCGTTTGCTTTTCCCCGAGTTCGTCGCGAGATTGGATCTTGGAGTCGAAACGACGCGACGCGACGCGACGCGACGCGATCGAAACGGAAAAGAAAGATCGAGAAATATGTAGTTTCGGAGGTAGGTAATTATAGCGTCGGCAAACGAGTATCGATTATTTGATATTGGGACGGAAGACAATGCGAGAGACGGTGAAGAAGCAAAAGCTCTCGTTACTCGTCAAAATACAATGCTTGGGAAATAAATCAGTCTTTTGCAAACACGGTTGGGTAAAGCGTTGAAATTGATCGGTCGTGTACCGAATTGTTCTGATCGTTGGACGCGCGTAGAAAGACATACCCCGATCAAAACTTTGGGAAATTTATAGCGCCCGCCGCGCCACGCCACGCCACGCCGCGACTATGTATAATCTTGTTACATGGTCGTTCGAATCGCGCGTTCGAGTTGTTAATTGGTTAAATTAGCTAGTAGAGTCAGCCGTAACAGGTACGCGGGAAAATGTTTGGCAACGATGCTCGTGTTATCAAAGGCATTCCTCCCCCCGTTGTGTAGCCCTCGATCGATACATATTGCAAAAATTTACTTCGTTCTCGGTTATTTACGTTCGTGTTTTCGTTGCTGTCTCGCGAGTAGTTGGACGGCGTGACGGTTCAAGGGGGATGATTTACACGGAACGAAACAGAGCAGAGAGTAGAGAGCGATCGGTTAGGAACGTTATGTCGATCGATGAGTCACGTTCTCCGTGTAGGTGGTAAGTTCTCGGAGCCACGGGTCGATTCTTTTTCCTGGAAATTAAGCAAGCCGTTGCCACTAGGAGGCCGGCCGAGAAACACGAGGACGCGGAGAAGGAGAACGAGCGTCGCGGAGGCGCCGTATTATAGTTATCGGTCGGATGCGCGGAACGCGCACCGAGATAACTCGACGCAAGACTATGCGTTAGCTTCGCGGAATCCCGATTAGACCTTTTCCTCGAACGAATTTCTGTCGTTTCACGGTATCTCGCGTGTTTCTCCGACCGACGACTAATTGCGCTCTTACGCTCGTCCCAGTTTACAACTACCGCTCCTTTTGGAATTTAACTTCTTTCTGTTTATGCCACGCCGACAGCGCCGACAGCGCCGACGACGACGACGACGACGACGACGACGACAATTTCACACCGAGATTCGCACGAATCAAACTACGACTCGAAACTATACACGGCACCTTTAATACGTATCTTCTTCTAAAGTAATATGAACGTAATTGCACTGTTTCGTATCTCGAGGAACAAATTTAAATCAGCTTCTTTCGAGTCTCGCGTCAAAATGGACTCCCCAACAAGAACGACAAGACGGCAAGTGTACGCGTTGATAAATAAGTTAAATCGGATAGAGGCTTATCTCCCGTTATCCGATGTATCGATTAATTTGATCGATTCGCGCGAACGTTGCATATTTACATAATTAGAAACGGATCACGGTGTTGGTTCATCGAGTAACCGGAAACGTAGCGCGATTAACCTCGATCGGTCTGTTTGCTCCAACCACCACCGATTACCGAGGCCATTTAGCCAAAAGGTTCGAATTTCGAACGACCAACCGTGGCATACATGGTTCGGAAACGATTATTAATTTACGCGGGAGAATCGTTCGTCGCGGCTACCTATTCGCGAGATTTTTCCTCTCCTCGTCTTTCCACCTCTCGTTCCACAGGCATCTGTCTCTGTCACAGAACGACAACCTCGTTTCCCCGCAATTTCCATCGGCTTCCGGGACAGACTTCATCCACCGGACGAGCATTATTCTTGCTAGCGTTACCAGCGAAATGAGTTTTTTCGGCACTGCGAAAACAGTCGTGCGTTCCTCGCTTCCGGAGAACCAACGATGATAAACGTGATCGATAAACGGACTAAAATACCGAGTGGACTTACAGTGCGTCGCCCTAATAGATTTTCTCGGCTTTTTCGACCGGACAAGAAGAAGAGCACGCGAATACAAGACCAAAGTACTACATTCGTCGGCACGTTGTCGTTTGGCCGTTCGATATTCGATATTGTTTTTCGAGTCGTATGTAGGTACTTACTTGTAAAACCGCAGTAACGATAACAACGACAGAAAGAGCAACATTGAGAAATATTGGTACCGTAAGAAGGAGATTTTTATCCATCCGTGTCTTTGGATTACGTTTTACGATTTACGTTTCGCGAACTATGGTAAGAACGAAGGCGTGGCTGGGCTGGGGCTGGGGTTGGGGTGGGGGTTGGGGGTTGAGGGGACGGAGGCAGAAGGTTAGGAGAGAAAAAAAATAACGAGGGCAAGGAAAGAAGAAAGGTGTGCCGAGTCTGGCGAAACGAAATTAATTTCCGAGCGAGTAACCCCTTGAAACTCGGCCCGTATAAATATGCATACACGTTTAGCGGCGGCGGGGGATGCGGAAGGAGAGAATTATGAGCCAATACCTCAGGGCTAAGTGCACGGAGTGGTTCTACGCCACATACATTAACTAAATGCGTATGATCTCACAGCGAGAGGAAGCTGTACCGATGATGCTGCCCCGGTAATGCAATTAGCCGGTGTACTGTACGCTGCTGGCTGCTATCTCTCCTGGCTATTTCTGCTCCTCGAATCTCTCTCTCTCTCTCTCTCTCTCTCTCTCTCTCTCTCTCTCTCTCTCTAACGTCGTCTTGCGTTTTACGAGAGGTTTAAACGACCAACAAAATGAGCTGTTTATTTCCAATAATGTACAAGGTACACCGCCAAAAACAGAACAACGGCTTAATCTCTATACATATTTCTATTTTCATTATTTGAAATCATTCGGAGAAACGTTCGTTGCGAAAATAGTACCGGTATACGTAGAGTTCCCGCGGTTGACGTCGATTCGCACAACCAGAGGCAAATAATCCACGAACAAATTGAAAAATAACGGAGAATAAGCTATCTTTTGGAAAGTCCGAAAAAAAATTAATTTCGTTTTAGAGCGTTTAAATCGAGTCGAAGGTATCGATCGAAGCGTTCGATCGGCTGTTCCCCGGTCAGGGTAACAGAATTTAACGGGGCAATAGCCTCGCGAGGATGTTGATCGATCGAGGAAAGCAGAACGATGCGTCGCGACTCGGTGTAACAAGGAAAAGCAAACTGTCTTTGGTCGTTGTGCGGCCGTGTGTGCTCCTCTCAAAGCATCGTATGTTCAGGACAAGCCCGTCAGAGGTTTGCCGAAGAATCCTCTCCAGGGTGCGGTGGTCCGATAACCCTCGACCGCGATTCTCTCCAATATTCTGTTGCTAGTTGTTTCATTTTTCACCTTTCCGATGAGTTTGATCGAGCTACGTTCACGTATCTCGAGTATCCGTTTACGGATTAAGAAGAAAAATCCGAAGCAATAATTTATTTTACACGAGGACGACGCTTTTTTACGGACAATCGTTTCTCGAACTACGGGGAAGAAGAAGAAGAAGAAGAAGAAGAAACGTACATACGTTGAGCGTGGTCGGAAGGAACGCGAAATTAATAGTTGGAAACGAATCGAGTCTCTTTATCGACGGGAGTGAAAATATTGACGTAGATTGTTTGAATATCACCGCGCGCGAGACAGTCGAGTCAAGAGTCGAAGGTAAAGTTTCATCGAAATTCGTTAATCCCGAAAAGTAAGGATAGAACGGTGCCATTAACGAGCCGATGGATTCGTTCGGAACCGGAAGAAACGAGTTCCTTCGAGATTAATGGAAATCCGAAGATCCCGAGGGAACCTAACGGACGCGTCCGTCGACTTTCGCATCGAAGAAAGGAGAGAGTATTACATATAGCGTGATTCTCGAGTTATTAGTTTCCGAGACCACCAGCGCCTCGCGACGTTGCCTCGAGATATCGAGACGCGTATCCGTCGATTTCTCTCTGCTACCGGTTCGAACGATGGGGGGGCCGCTAACAGTGAGAGGGAGGAGAGGGGGGAGGGGGGGGGGCGTTGGCGGGGGCGGAGGCGGAGTCGAGTTAGCGCGAACGAGAGGCGTACAGGTATTTGAATAAAACTGCCCACGCGCGCTTCCGAGAAGTCCTCTTAAAACCGCGAAAGGAATGGTGCGCGCCCTTTCTTCGCCGCGGTAACCGGAATTCCTGGAAGTCTTTCTCGAACCTCTTCATGCTCGTTGTCCGACCTCGGTATCGCGAGTTAGTGGAGCTTTCGCTCGTAACTACGCCGACGCCGACGCCGACGCCGACGCCGCGCCGTACAGCTTTCGGAACTTAATTTATTACTCGACTATTTCCTTCGATATTGGATTTTTAATGTGTCGTTCGATCGGTGATCCGAGTTTTCCGCGGCGAATATACGTCGGAAGCGAAAGACAAAGAGAAACAATAATAAAATATAAGTAATAACGTCCCATCGAGAAACGATAATCGTCGAATTGTACGGTGACTGACGGTTTGGAAATTTTTTGCAGTATAGTATACAGGGTGTTCGGCCAGCTCTGGGAAAAATTTTTATGCGACATTCTAGAGGGCAAAATAAGACGAAAATCAAGTTATTAATGTTTCAAATCATTGTAGAAAAATTATTTTTATTTGCAGGGGTCAATTACAATCATTTTTGGTCAACAGACATACCCCCGAAATCCTACGCACTATCGAGAAAAAAATTCGTGTAAATGGACAAATTTTATTAACATGTTTTGACAGTAATTTTGTTAATAACTGTTTAGCGAAGCCTCGATCAACAAATTGGTATTGTTGATTTTCGATTTATTTTCGCTTGTAAAATCTCTCATGAAAATTTTTCCCAAGAGTGGCCGAACAACCTTTAGAAATTGGAACCGTTTCGAAGCGTTCGAAATCCCATCGGTAGCAACGAACGCAAGACGGGACGGGACGAGACTTTTCGACAAAGTCTCCGCACGGTTGATCGAAAAATTGCAACTTTTGCCGAGCTTCCTATTTCCTGTTTAATGGTCTCGCGACCCCGATTCCGGTGAAGAACTTTGGGCTAACGTGCACCGTAAACTGTCGAACAAAAGAACGAGTAACCGAAACTCTTGCCGATAAAACTGCTGCGAACCACCCTCTGCGATCGTAACCGCGTTTCATTACGGAGACAGGCTAGTAGTTGCTGCTTCACCACCACCGAAACATTCGTCGATCCGGCGTTTCTTTTCGTTTGCTTCTCGCTGAATTTTCCACCTGTAACGTTTTCGGATACTAACCAGCCGTAAAATTTCAATAAGTATGCTCGACGCGAAGTGCACGCTGTGCACGTGCGCCGCAACACGCGAACCGCACGCGTATCGATTATACCTGAGATCGCTGAACCAAGAAACTCGATTTATCACAACGAAAGCATCACCTTGCTCGAATAAATAGCGTCGGAGTCGTAGAAAGTAAAGTTGCGTCGTAGGAAGACCGCGTTTTCCGGGTATTTATTTCATTCTCGATCAGCGTTCGAAAAAAGATATCTGCTGTTAGGCATTAGAAATTGGCGAATGCGCGAGGATGTCCAACGACTCGGTACGGAGACGACGGTAATGTTTGCATAATGGCTGTTGCGGTAGCATGTTCGAAGAGATCGGTCGATCGAAGCAGCCATATCCTTGATGCGTTAGAGGAACATAGTACAGGATCTGCGAATTACGTACACGTGTGCGAGCGCCAGACGCAACGCGGTTCGATCGGCGGAACTCGCGCGTACCTAAGGGTTGTGTATGCATCGCGACACGTGACGCGTTCCTGCACACGTACGTACGCCACTCTATGCACACCTGCGATCCTTCAAATCCCATCAATCTATAGATCCTGGATATTGCGGTCGTGAATAAACAAACGATCTTTTGTACGCGTTAATATCGGAACAACGTTAAATGGTGGAGCAGTTTGTATTTTCAATATAAAAGTTGAAGGAGGGGTAAAGTTTTCGGCAAGGTAGGTAGTAGAGCGGCAAGTAGTTTATATTAAGTTTCCGAAGCAAAAGTTCGTGCATTTAGGATGTTGGGTAAAGTAATTTCTTGGCCGGTTTCTGTGGTTCGGTTTCGTTTCCGGGTCGGGAGAGTAGATTCCGTAGAAATGATTTTTTAATCGATCGGAACGGCGACGAACGAGCATTTCTGCCGTTTTGCTCGAGTTTACCCGAATTCCCTCGAACAGAGAATGAACTCCTTGCTGGAAAAAAAGACAAAGCGGACCGGTTCTCGCTGCAGGCACTCCAATTAATCCCATGGATCGATCACCGCGTTGACGCGGTGCATCGGGCTTCGTTGATTATCCAACAGACGATTCAACGTAACGAGTGCGCTTCGGGAGAAATTAACGCCAGGCAAATTGCGATCCGCTCGGAGAGAAACGTTGCAGCGCGACGCGACGACCACCGACTGCAACTACGCTTTGATAAAATTTAATAGGCGGCGACGCGACGCGACGCGACGCGACGCGACGCGCCTCTTCGAATTGTAAGTCATTTCGTTTTGAAAATTTCATTCTAGTTGGCGAAAAACTTTGCACCGACTCTTACCAATCGATATTCTCGTAATTAAATCTTCATCGAGGCTATAGAATGTGTATTGTTTTTATTGCGTTTTACGTTTGCGAAAGCAACGAAGAAGGACGGGGATTGAACGAACAAGGTCGTTTAAGAACCTAATCCTTTTTCAGCCTACGTATCTGTACGTATCTGTAAGTTGATCGTATTTGTCGGACTAAGGAAATCGTGCAGTTTGCAGCCGTCCCGAGACTAGGGCAATTGTTCAGAGTTCGGTTGCCGGTCCGACGAACAAACGACTCTGTAAACGTTGCGACGCGACGAGTTCTTTGTCCCCGCACGAGGGAACGAACAGTTTGCCAATGGCCAGCGGCCGCGCCACGCCGCGCCACGCCGCGTGGCGTGGCGCGGTATGCGGTTCATTTCCGTGATTTCGCGAGGGAAATGAAATTTCGTAATTATTGTATTCTCGCGAATGCACGGTGCGGAAGCCGAGAAGCGAGAGAGAACGAATCGGCCGAGAAATGAAAATCACTTTAATAAACCCCTTTCAAACAACTGTAATTCACAGGCGTTACGAATAGTTGGCATTTCCGTGAAATATTTTATACTCGTTCGTTACGTGAAGGTTTCCCCTAGCGTGTTTGGTGCACAGCGCAACCAGCAAAACGAAGAAACACGAGAAACATCGTCGATCAGAGACTTTGCTCGCGAAACAGACTACGGAGAAGATAAAGGGAAACGGTTAAAACGAAAGTTTCGCTGGTTCTATTAAGCTCAAAATGTCTCGTACGAAAGTTTGTTCAACTTGGAAGACGGATTCCTACGGAGTTTCGAGCTTAGGCCGTGGAACAAAGCTATAGCGTAAGGTTTATTAACCCCTCGATGCTAGAATGGATAGAGGTCGCGAAACGATGCATCGCCTGAAAGATTTCAAAGCGATTGTCCGTAGGTGGTAAGTAGGTACATACACGGTATCGCGCCTCACACTTTTCGCACCAATATCTTCACTCTTTGTTTTTACCTACCTTGTTTCCCCCCTCTTCTTCTTATCTTGGCGTATTCCAGTATTCTGCATAAACTATAAACAGTTGGAAAAGGACCAAACGTTGCGAACGAATCCTCCTTTTTCCTCGCGTTGTTCCCTCGGTGCCTGTTCCGATTTCATAAAACAATCGCGTTGCTGCTTTGTCGAAAGATAAAATAAAAGGGACGCTCGTGACAACGGGCCTTTGAAACTGCAAACTATGTCCGAAACGTTTGCTCGTTTTTCAAGTAGGTAGCTCTGCCCTGTTTCTCGAACTCGAAAAACGACAAACGTCCCGAAGGTTGCGTTGTTTGGAGGTGGAACTCGACACCGTGCCACGAAACGCAGATGGGAAACAGGAACCGGTTAATGGAACGTAAACGGATTTGCTCGCAACTTGGTTGGTTCGTGCAAATATCAGTTGCGAGCAGCGTCGAGAAGCATACAAAATTCTCGTTTCGTCCGCGGCGATTAAATGTATACAATCTATTATACATACATATGTAATGTTTGTCTTGCGAGTACATATATGTATGTATATCCTTTCTACCGCTATTTATTTACGGAGCAAGACTTTTGCTGCGCACCACGATTATTTCTAATACACCGAGAGAAACTGATTCGGCTCGGTGCGTTACCGCGTGTACCTTAAAAAAAAAAAATTCATTTCGACGTGTACTCGAAACTCGCGGGAAATCGCGGCTAATATCGAGATGACTGGTGGTGCTCGTAGTCGATAGCTGGGTTCTCGATCGAAATGGTTTATAACGAGACAGTCGATCGCTCTTTCAGGGGAGAAATCCGGCGGATACACGGGAAAGCCTCTACCGACGTACAGGCCAGCCTCGCAATTGGTACCTCTGGGAGGAGCGGCGAGATTGTTTTGCGAAGCTTATCTGGGAAAAGTCGAGCTTCCGGATGCGAAAAATTCGGTGACCTGGTCCAAGAGCGACAGCAACGTGACGCTTCCGAATCACGGACGGATCGCTCAACACAGGGTATCCAGGTGAGATTTTATCCATTGTTATTTTCGGAACGTGTTTGCGACGAATTTCGAATAAATTTTTTTCTTTTTTTTTTTACGTATGAGAACGGTGGCATCGAAAAACGCGTTGCTCCTCGATCGATTCGAAATGCTCGACAGCGATTCGCTGGACGATGAACGGGCCAAAGAACAGCAGCTAGAATGTTACTCGCAAAGGGCAAGGCGCATAGGGATCAAACCGCTAATTAAGGGACACGCTCACCGGGGAGTATCGGAATTTACCTTTGATCCAGAAGGGGCATATCCTGGTTCCGGGAACCACGGAAGGCGCACGGAATGCGTATATGTATTCTCGAATCGATTAATAGGAGGGCGGGGGCCTATTAACGAGGGTTAAATTTCATCGGTTATTGAAATCTTGGCGGTTATTATCACAGGAAATGGAGCCTCTTGTTCCCCGTTATCCTCGACGCGTCGTCTTTAAATCTTCATTCGTTAACCATTTTACGGACTAACAGGCGTTTAAATACTTGGCTAATCGCAACCGCGATTATTTAAAGCGACTTTTATTTCTGTTTTTTTTCGTTATTTAACGCGTCGTATCAACCGTTTTGTGGGTTATTAGCGACTCGGGTAAGTCATAGCCTGTTGTATGTAGTTAGTAGTTAGCGACTCACGGTACAGTTCCCAGTTGGCTTCTTCAAGTTTCCATTTTGGTGGTTTGTAGGATTCGCGGCTTCGGTTCAGATAGTATGTTTGTTACCTTTATTGGGAAGTGGTGGCGTGGCTGTCGTATAAATCATCGGCTGTGTGCTCCATATGATGTTTTGGGTTATAGATGGACTGCCGAGGGTTGGATCCGTCGCACTGAATCGGTGGAATGCCGAGGTAGGTGCGGTTGTATTTAATAATACGAGATTGATTGAATTTATTATTTTCTCTATGATGATCTATCAGTTTTGTACGATCCCCAGAGGGGGGTACTGTGGCTGTGTTATAGCGTGGATTATAATTGCCTGTTCTTTACCAGGGAATGGATTACTAGTTGTAGCCGACGCGTAGGATTTTCTAGGCTGTGTACGTTTGAGGATTTTGCTCGGTGTTGTGTTTGATTCCGTGGTTGGGTTTCTATGATCGGTGGGTCTCGTCTCGGTGTCACGCACACTATGCATCGTTCTGTTGTCGAAGCAGAATGATGCGGTGTGTCATCACGCACACCATACAACACAATAATACTACAATAACACTGCGCGATAACTAGTTTGAAATCGAACTGGCACTCGCGAGCGACAATAATAGGTCTGATTCGCGGTAGCCTGCTCGTGAGCGACTGACGAAAGCAGCGACCCTTATCAAGTGTAGAAAAAATATTTGGGATCCTTCTAAACGCGTTGCCGTTGCCGTCGTCGTGGTGTCCCGGAAATAACGTATAACGATAGAAATACGTAAACGGCACGATTCGTCCGGTAAAACCAGTGTATGGTTCGTACAGAGAACGGTAGGAACGAACGGGTATTGTATAATTGTTGGCAGACCAGTGAAAAGGTGTTCCTCCCATTGTCCGCGGTTTCCGCGAATGCAAATGCTTTTACGTCCAACGGTGTGTCTCACGGGTAAATTTCGAGATTGCGTTGGAGGAAACCTGTCCTCCAATTAGTGACCGCATCCGCAGCCACGATAATGGTACCGCGTAGCTCGTGCACACTGTAACAAGAGTGTGCATTTCGGTGTTGGCGTTGCTACCGAGACGATCGAGAATACAGCGTTGCTGCGTTCCTAGGGAAAATCAGGATTCATCGTTTCAACCCGATAAAAGATAAAAATGCTCGCCACAAAACATCGCACGCCACGTCTATTCCTATACCTGGGTCTCGTCTGTGCTCGCGATTCGTATCAGGACGAAATTTGTCCGTAATTTCGAGGCGAAATCGGCAGGCAGACGGTGCGTGGTAGTCGCGGTTCCAAGAACACGGCCAACTCTGCGAGGAGAGGAGCGTTCGTCAGGGTCGACGAGTGCGATCGCAGGTCCAGTGATTAGCCTTTTTGCGCCGGCAGTCTCTCAGGGCATTATATGTAGACGTAATAACGGCGGGACAAACTCGAAGCAGTGTCCAACCGAGGCTCGCCAGTCCGTCCGTTTCTCCATCGAACCAGCTCTCCAAGCAAACCCAGTGAAGAAGGGAGAGAGGGAGAGAGGATAAGGAATTCCGAGGAATGTTTGACTCTGGAAGAGAGAGAAAGATAAATATCTGCGGCGTCTGCACGAGCTCCGTCATTACACTAATGATACCTTGGTCTCTCTCCTCGGCGAATCGGCCCCTTTTTCGAGGGTGCCCCGCTCTCGCTGCACCGCTGCCGATTCCTCCGCCATGTACTCTTCTCCTTGGAAGCAGCCAATCTTGCTCGAAACTGGACGGTGGTAGAACCGAGAGGAAACAGAAAAATGTCGGTCTGGTGTAATCGTCCGTCCGTCCGTCCATTGCGTTGCAGCGTTGCAGCGTTGCAGCGTTGCAGCGTTGCAGCGTTGCAGCGGCGCGAGGTCGGTATTTCTTGCTCGGTTTCGAGCGAATCGCCCGCCGCGAATCCTCCGATCTACCACGTGCACCGAGCGAGACAAAAATCGTGCACGTTCGCTCGCTCGTAATTCAGTTCGACCGGCTTCGATTTCAACCGGTCCTCGCGGCTCACCTACCACGGTGCAATTTCAAACCAGGCATGCTCGTCTTTGCTCAAGGAGAAATAATTGGCATATTGGATCGGAGAGAGGAGGCGCGCGAGATCTTCTCATCGGTACTAGGATAACCAAGAAAAGGATATGTCCCGTAACCGAAAGTATGAAGTCTGATCGCGTTTGGCCATCCATTTTCCGTTCGATCGAATCGGTTCGCGACTGAACTCGACCGATCGATCGAAGCGAGTGCTCTTTGTGGAAAATGGAGGAGGTTCGAGCGTTCCAGGGTCCAATTAAACGCGAGACCGAGAGCACAGCGGCGGCGGTGGTGGTGGTGGTGGTGGTGGTGGCGGCGGCGGTGGTGGGCCGCACGGATAAGCCGGAGCCGAGTGCTGCGAGGTCAAGTTGGAACGGAAGAGAGGACGAACCGGGTCGAGGAGACCGGAATGAAACGGAGCCAGGGTCGCGGGCCTTTGCCGGTTCCCGTCCGGTTCTTGGTTCTTTTGTATCTCGTTTTGTGTCGTCGAGCTCTCGATCATCGTGGCGAGATACCGAGCTCGCTCGGCCATGGGTGGTCCGTGTCAAGCTTCTCATATTCTAAGCGTCGCCGTTCGGTCAGGATTAAAGGAGATCCTCGATACCCGAAAGCGACTCACGAGCTCTCTCCGACAGCCTCCAATTTCTATTCCGTTCGCTTTTAATCGAGCCTCCATTACGCGCGGAGGATCGGGTTAATACGATCGCGGCTCGTTGCACGCGCAACGAACGCTCTTCGGCCGTTCGGCCGACTCTAGGATCGAAAACCATCCCAGGCTGTTGGACTTTTGCCGTTCCCGCGCAAACGAAAATCGAAGAATCAACGGTAAGTAAACGAAATTGGTTTGTATCGATCGTGCGACGGTTAGGATCTCGTAACCGTGAAATCCACAGTCGTTCCGTTACGAACAAGAGAGAAATAACGGCCGAATCGAGTAACGTATTTCGTTGCAACGAGATTGGCCGACGGGGGACGTAGAACGGGTAGCAGTCCTCCAAATGCGTTTTCCTCGTCGCGATAAATGTGTTCGCGGAACAATCTCTCCCAACCGGCTCGTTTCTACGAAGCGGAAATTCGCTGACGCAGTCTCGCGATCGAAGTTTCTTACATTTCCGCGGTCCGAGGAACGAAATGGTTCCAGCCGGGTGGGAAAGAATAGTCGGTCATCTGTCTCCGAAGCTTGGTAAGGGGACGGTCTGCTCTAAGCTCGCAAACGTAATGAAACCGTACGAGCTCGAGCATCCGTCTGGCAGAGCTTTGAAAAATAACTTGACTCAGTCGCGTCGCGAGGACGCGAAAAACTTGAGACTACCTTGAGACTACCACGCGACGCGACGCGACGCGACGCGACGCGACGCGACGACGACTTTTGTTCCGAGAAAATGACCCATGAAATCTCGAGCCTCGTTTCTGGCCGCGAACGCGAAACTTTCGCACGGCGAAAACAGAAACGTAGAAAACTGCGAGTACGTTCATCTCCGAACAACAAGTATCAACGAAACAACCGTAACGAAACGTGCGCAGAGAAATCGGAGCGGTGGAGATCCTTTATCCCGTTCGAGTAACAAGAACGTAGCTAGGCTACAGAGACCAACCAGATTGATCGTCGAATGTAATTTCTCGCGACGCGTTAACCTGGGAACGCAGCGAGCGATCGATGGACCGAATTACCAGATGTAACGAACAGAGTCTGGTGTTGTCGATCGACGACGAACCAGTCTCGTAAATCTTGAGCGACCGGTTGCTCGAGGGCTAATAGAGACGAATTACACGCGTCGAGTACCACCGACGCCGATCTATTAACGTTGATTACGTTCGAATGCAAATACACCGATTGGAACCACCACCGCGCGAATACTCGACCAATCAGATTTCTGCTCCCTTTTGCGGCACGTAATTATACTTGCACGCGAAAAGAATCCGAATTTCAATTTTATTTACGTTTCGACCGTTGCATCGTGGAAGCCAGGAACTCGTACGATTCTCGTTAGCCGAGGGAAACGTGGATGTCGTTCGTTTTAGGAAAGAAAAGGAAAGTTTAGGTTCCGAGGCATTTGGTTACGCTGTACGGCCACGGGGGCAAACGAGACCCGAGGGATAAATTGGTTGCTTACGAGAGATACGTAATCGTTATTTTCGCGCCAAGAGAAGAGATTACCGAAGGAATCGAGAGACGTATCGTGAACCGGTGCAGAAACGAGAGATGAGCAAAGCATCGAGCAAACGGGTTCGGAGGGAAGCGAAGCGAGTCGGGGGAGGGGGATAAAAGACCGGAGACAAAGAAAGATCGTTGTTGAAATATCGAAAAGAGTC